CTATTTTAAATGTGTATTTTGTTAGGATATTTCCGTTCCACCTTAAAAGGGAGCAGGCTTTGTGAGTCAGAGTCTGCGTATTTCCTGTTCACAGGATGTTTATGTTTTCTGTTGCTTTCGTTTTCTCTCTGGTGTCGCAGACACTAAAGCAGTCAGTCATGTTTTTCTGTGTTCTGATCAACGCTGAATAAACTTGTAAATAATGCTCTCCTGATTGCAACTTTTGGCTGTGCTATCTGCTGATAAGAGTGTGCATGAGCTCTGGAATGTGGCAAGAAATCTTCGAGAAACTCATGTCGCTAATTGTTGATACTGCGTGACTACGGGAGGTCGATGGATCGTCCGGCAGACGGCTTGGGGGCCTTGATGGACTTTATCTCCCTGGCAGTATCCCAACAACAGGTTTCGGGCCCAGATTCACAGCACTTACAGGAGAGTAAGACTGCGACAGACTGCTGAAAGGTATGTGGAGGAAAAGCGAAAGTAAGGCTTTTCTGTTTGCCGCGGCAAGAGCTTTGATGCCCGGCAGGCCTAATTGGTCTGGGCGTCGAGCCCAGCAGGCCTCAAGATTTATGAGCTGCCGAGATAAGACATCTCTGAAGTGAATTAGATTCACGGCTCAAGTAAAAGACTGAGATGGATCTTTTACAATCCTCAGAAACTGCTCCGTCTCCACCAAAGCTAAATGGCCACAACTATCAGACCTGGGCAAGGTACTGTGAGGGCCAGATGAGGAAGCTTGGAGTGTGGAATACCGTTTCTGAGGACCCCCCAGCCCCTGTGACAGATGAATGGACGGCACAGGACTCAAGAGCCATGGGGATAATTTTGCTCTCAGTAGCTCCTGAAGAGTTAATCACCCTGGCTGGCAAGGCCAGTGCCCGTGAGATGTGGGACGGGCTTAGAGCCTGTCATCTCCGACAAGAGGCTGGGTCTGTGTTGCTTTATTTCAGAAAGCTGCACAGGAAGCGTTTGGAGCCAGGGGAAGACCTTAGAGCCCACGTTTTACATTTGCAGCATCTCAGACAGGAATTGACTCAGAGAGGTTTCAATATGCCTGAGTCACTGTTTGCAATTCTCATCCTGGACTCCCTGGATGAAAGCTACCATGCCGTGGCAAGTCAGCTGGCGACCCTCCCTGCGCAAGACCTCACTGCTACAAAGGTCTTGGCGACTTTGCAAAATGAATACGATAGAAGGAATGCAGCTGAGTCGGCTTGTGCGCTCCAGGGGGAGCAATGTGGGACAGCATTCCAGCCTCCAGGGGAGCCAAAGCGTTGGCAGCTGTGAAGTGCTGGAACTGTGGGACCCAAGGTCACACTCAGAAGTTTTGTCCAAAGACTGGAAATAAACAAAGGAAGAAGCCAGCAGATGGCCGGAAGCAGAGGGAGGGTGAAGAGCCCACGCCAGAGGAAAACAAGGTTTTGTTTGCTGGCACAGCCTCACCAAAGGCTAAAGGCAAGTCTGATGGCCAGGAGCAGGGGGGCAAGCTGCAAATGCCCACGCCAGTGGAAAACAAGGTTTTGTTTGCTGGCACAGCCTCACCAAAGGCTAAAGGCAAGTCTGATGGCCAGGAGCAGGGGGGCAAGCTGCAAAGCCCACGCCGGTGGAAAACAAGGTTTTGCTTGCTGCAAAGGCTGCTCCAAAAGCCAAGGCCAGGTTTGTTGTTGATTCAGGCTGTACCCGCCATATCTCAAAGGACCGCCACCTCTTTATTTCCTTCAAACCTCAAGAAGGTGAGATCCACCTGGCTGATGGAAAGACGTTGCGAATTGCGGGAGAAGGGACTGTGAAACTGGCAAGTCTGCACACGACCATCAAAGATGTACTATATGTTCCAGGCGCTGCAGACAATTTGCTCAGTGTCCCACAGCTGACTGGGCGTGGTTTTGAGATTTCCTTCAAGAGGAGCGTCTGTGTCATCAGAAAAGGCAAAGAGGACATTTTGCATGCAAAGTTTATGGATGGCTTGTTCTGTATAACTTATGATGACATTGGTGCTGTTGTGTCTAATGCTGATTCTTGTTGTGTTGCACAAACTAACAAAGTTCTTCATGCAGGATGCATTCATGATGCTCACAGAAGATTTTGTCACATGTCTTGGCAGGCGCTGGCCAAGATGCCAGAGATGGTTGAGGGTTTGAACATCAAACCCTGTAAGTTTCACATGAAATGTGTATCTTGTGCAGAGAACAAGGTGAAGGTTGCTCCAAAAGGCAAGGAGTCTAGCAGGCAGGCTTCCAAACCCTACCAGCTAGTGCACACGGACCTGGTTGGTCCACTTGCGCCCTCTTTGGGTGGAGCAAGGTACTTCATGGTTCTAATTGATTCTTTTTCCAGGTACATTCATGTGTTTATGCTCGAGCAGATATCGCAAGCGTTTCCTAAGTTCAAGGCATTCTGTGCTTGGTTGGAGAATGTTCATGGTAAACGCATTGGCTGTCTGTTTACTGATCGAGGCGGGGAGTTCACTTCTCAGCAGCTTGAAGCTTTCCTGACTGAGAAGGGAATCCAGCATGACTTGTCAACGCCTAGATCGCCATGGATGAATGGGCTTGCGGAGCGAGCAAATCAAACGTTGCTGCAAGGAATGAAAACATTGTTGCATGATGCCAATCTCCTGATAAGTATTGGGGGAGGCTCTGTCGAATTTTGCTTACACTTATAATCGCAGATTGTCATCACCTATTGGTTGTACTCCTATGAGAAGATGTTTGGTAAGAAACCCAACATCAAACACATGAGAATCTTTGGTTCTGACATGTGGGTACACACCCCACAGAGCAACAAGCTTGGGAAGCGTGGGGCACATGGTTTGTTCATGGGGTACGAAAAGGTGCATACAGGGTGTGGATGACCAACTCTAAGTCCATTAAGTTCACAAAGAGTGTTGAGTACAATCCTAAGTGGGGGGAAAATGTGGGAATTTTCCAGAGTTACCCAGAGGAGGATGAAGGTGATGTCAAAGAAGCAGCTAAAGCTGAGGAAGCTGCTGAGGATGATGATGACGATGATGATCAGAGTTCGGATTCCAGTTCAGTGGGCGGCGCTGCTGCTGATGTCGGTGACAGTGATGACACAGCAGACTACAAGAGCGCAAAGGCCTCAGTCAGACCATCTGATGCGTCTGACAATGATCTGGAAGAACCACTGTTCACCATTGGTCACTTTTCTCCTAAGAAGGAGGAGATGAGTCCAGAAGACTTGCGTCTAGTACGCAGATCTGAGAGGGCCACAAAGGGCAGACCTCCAAAGAGATTTGCTGATGAGTTTGCTAAGACAGCAACTGCTGTTCTTGGTAGCTCAGAGAAGGTATGGGAACCTTCAAGCTTCAAAGAGGTTCAGGAGTTAACCTCTAAAGATGCTGAGCCTTGGCTTAATGCCATGAAGGCTGAAGTTGATTCCTTGAATAGGAACCAAACTTGGGAACTGGTACCAGTAGTCCCAGGAATGAGACTGGTTGGCAGCAAATGGGTCTTCAAGGCCAAGACAGACCAGAATGGCAAGGTAGTCAGACACAAAGCCAGATTGGTTGCCAGAGGTTTTTCACAGGTACCAGGACAGGATTACCACGAGACCTACTCACCCACCGTCAAATATGAGAGCATTCGGCTGATGCTCAAGATCGCTGCGGAGGAGAAACTGCATGTTTCCCATCATGACATTAATACAGCTTTTTTGTACGGGGTTTTTGGGGAGGAGCTGTTTATGCTTCCACCTGACGGGATGCAGATACAGAAGGGAATGGTCTGTAAACTGCGGAAATCCTTATATGGTCTCAAGCAGAGTGCCAGGTGTTGGAACACAAAGCTCACTGAGACATTGCTTTCTCTAGGTTTTCACCAGGGCAAAGCTGATCCATGTGTGTTTGTCAAGGAGGAGGGGCAAAACAAACTGTATTGTTTATGTTTTGTTGATGATCTTCTGATGTTTTGGAAGAATCAGGCTTTCTACCAAAGCACCCTAGCTCAGCTGAAGGAGCACTTTGACATGAAGGATCTTGGTGAGGTATCCAACTATCTTTCTCTGCAGGTGGAGAGGGACCAAGCAGGTAATTTTCTGGTACACCAAACACAGAAAATTGCTGATGTATTAACCAGGTTGAATTTGGTTGATGCAAACCCAGCAGACACACCGATGGTGACAGGTTACCAGGTAGACAGTACTGCTGAAGCGTTTTCTGACACAACGCTGTACAGATGCATTCTAGGCAAGTTGAATTTCATTGCTAGATGCTCAAGACCTGACATAGCTGTAAGCTGTAACCTGCTTAGCAGACATGCCAACAATCCTACTGTTCAGGATTGGAAAGCTCTGAAGCGCATAGCCCGCTATTTGAAAGGGACTTTGCACTACAGGCTGAGGTTCACCAGTCAGAAGACTGGAGGTCTTGAAATCTTTGCAGATGCAAGTTTTGGAAGTGACACCACGGATGGTACAAGCACTTCTGGAGTATGCTACATGTACAACCACTGTCTGTTTGACTGGCTGTGCAAGAAGCAGACGACAGTGAGCCTAAGTTCCTGTGAAGCAGAACTCAATGCTCTGTCATTTTCACTCATGGATTGTGAATGGTTGATGCAACTGTTTAAGGACATCGGAGTTTCTGTGAAATGTCCTGTACAAGTGTATCAAGACAATAGATCCTGTTTGGCTTTGCTGAACTCGGAGAGTTGCAAGCAAAGGACCAAGTACTTGCAGATTAAGCTACATCGTGCAAGAGAGTGTATTCAGAAAGGACTCATTCAGGTGTCCTACATGCCAGGAAATGAAATTCCTGCTGATCTGTTGTCTAAGGTTGTTAACAGAGAACAACTTAAGGTTTATGTACAAAGGTTGCAATTGGGTTGAACCACAGGTACTACAGGTTACACGGAAAGGGGGAGGATGTTAGGATATTTCCGTTCCACCTTAAAAGGGAGCAGGCTTTGTGAGTCAGAGTCTGCGTATTTCCTGTTCACAGGATGTTTATGTTTTCTGTTGCTTTCGTTTTCTCTCTGGTGTCGCAGACACTAAAGCAGTCAGTCATGTTTTTCTGTGTTCTGATCAACGCTGAATAAACTTGTAAATAATGCTCTCCTGATTGCAACTTTTGGCTGTGCTATCTGCTGATAAGAGTGTGCATGAGCTCTGGAATGTGGCAAGAAATCTTCGAGAAACTCATGTCGCTAATTGTTGATACTGCGTGACTACGGGAGGTCGATGGATCGTCCGGCAGACGGCTTGGGGGCCTTGATGGACTTTATCTCCCTGGCAGTATCCCAACATATTTTATATTTACTTCCTTTAGTAATGTTTTCTATTGAAATGTTTAAGATTTTTTTTAAACTTCACTGTGTTAAGTGTGTATTTTGTAGTTGAATTCCTTTGTAATCATTTATTTTGAAATTTTTAAGATAATACTTTTAGTTTCATATTAACTATGTTGCTTTGAATGTATACTTTACATTTGTCTTTCTTCCGTAACGTTTTATTCTGGATTGTTTTTATTTGATGTTTTAATGTGTTGTAAACCACTCTGAGAAAGTTCTTAAAACACAAAGCAGTATATAACAATCTTTTAATAAAACACAAATGAGGAGGCATATATTTTGCCCCAATCAGGAGATGGGAAAATCTGTTCCTCCTTGACCCTCCTGGCCTGATAACATAACCTTTCTGCCCTTCTTAAATTTGGAGGATGAATCTCCACCAACATCTCAGTGATCACAGAATTGGACAAGTGCCTATTAAGACAGTCGGGTCCTGCAAAGAGGTGATGCCAGCTATACTAGAGGCTTCACCAGTTTGCTTAAGGTTGCAGATGGCCTCAGCTCTATGCTGAGACAATATCTCTCCATAGCTCAGCCAGCTGGGCCTGACTTCAAATCATAGAGTTGGAAGGGACCCTGGCACTCATCTAGTCCAGGGGTTGTCAACATGGTCCCTACCGCCCACTAGTGGGCGTTTCAGGATTCTAGGTGGGTGGTAGGGGGTTCTACGGCACAAGCTGAATCCTCCTTCCAACTCTATGATTGAAATCTAGGCCCCATCAGCTATGAATCAGACATTGCTAATGCAAGTGGGCCAACTTTTGCGTGAAATTATGACCCTTCAGGACCAGTTGTAGGCTATCAAAGTTGCACCAACAGCAGCTTGCTTTGCAATATGAACTACTGGGGCTCCAGCAAAATGTAATGCAACCGGCCATAAGAACAAAGCTGGCTTCCTGTCCTTCTCTTGTGCAAGACATTCCAGTAGCACAATTCATACTTCCATGACCCTGAACCTCATCTCCCATCTAAATCCACTGATTTCAAGTATGTATTTTGCTCACTGGAAGTTGAAAGCTTATTTCCTTACTGTCCAAATGACTGCACAATTAGCTTAGTCCCAGGAGCTCACCTTCCAGAAGGTCAAACATACCAACTTTCAGAGGCGGAACTTGATGTTCTCAGGGATTTTCTGAACAAAAAACTTGCAGCTGGGGTTCACTCAACCCCCTACATCTGCTGCTAGTGTACCTGTCCTGTTTGTAAAACAACAACAACAAATATAGAAAACTATGTCTATGGAACAATTACAGGGTCCTAAAGAAGATCATGCAAGAAGCTACCTTATACTGAGTCACACCACTGGTCCATCTTGCTCAATATTATATACACTGACTGGCAGTGGCTGTTCAGTGTGTCAGACTTTCTTGAGTCCTGCCTGGAGATGCCAGGGATTGAACCCAGAACCTTCTGTTTGCAAAACAGAAGTTCTTTCACTGAGCACTTCTTCAGTTTGGAACCAATAGGCCTTGTTTCTTATCTCTGAATCATTTGGTCCATTGTGGACCACTGTCATGTACGCCAAGCAAAGTCTCCATGGAACAGACAGCCTGATTTGAATCAGAGAAGACGATGAATGGAGGATGGATCTTGGGACGAGGTATGAGCCCTTCAAATAACTAGTTGCACCATTCAGGAACAGAACTCATGGCACTGCCAATATTCTTCTGGAAACTTTTCATTCCTCTTTTTTTAGAAAATCTAGTCCAAAGAATTGATTCTTTCAGAAAGCAACTCATAAGACTCAATACTGCCATGAATCTTGTATTATGAAATCAAGATGATTGCCCTTGATTAGAATTGTCAATGTTTTTACAGGTGCGTTTGAATTGGTAATTGCTTTCCCTTTTTTAAAGTGACAGGCAATCATTTCAACTGCACTTCCCTCTCCTCTCAGCTTTAAGTCACTGGTTGAAAAATATATTTATATTAACAAAAAGGGAAAAAAAACACTACCCACCCCTACATTCCCTCCCCCATGTTCATGTAAGTGATGAGTACACAGGAGCGACACCATGTTTGAAGTCACACCTCATCACATTTGATTCATCCCTTTTCACGGTCCTGAGTCTTGATGGCTTCTGATGTTTCCTTCCCTATTGGAAAAGGTGATGTGAGCTGTCATATATGCTTCCAATTAATACATATCAGTTACAGCCTTACAGCCTGAACAAATGCAAAACTACCAAATGTTTCTTTAACATCACCTACTCTGGAGTTGCTGTGGTTTCTGGTTGGTCAGGCAAGGGTAGCATGGCCTACTTTTGACAAGTGTGTTGTACCCTGTGGAAACAGCTATAAGAAACAGATTTCAATTAGTACAGCATTGTTGCATGATTTATTTATTTTTTTAATGTCCTTTCAATGAATGCATTTATATTAGCTTGGGAGTGATTTACCACTACTGAAAGGCATCTTTCCTTTAGCTCTGTTCTGATGCTGACAACCAGATACAGTGTTGTCTCAAAGTTTCACCTGAACCAAAAATTCAAGGTTCATTGCAGGTGAAGAGAAATGTCCCAGTTGTTTGACGAAACAAAGAACATCTGATATTTTGTGTGAGTGTGCTCACAATCTCCACTGAGTTTAATGAGGCAGATTTCCAACAAGCCACCTTGACACAACCTATAGTCCCATGAATCTCTGATGCACATCCGTCAGATCCATTTAGGAACAGGGGATGATCTTTGGGAACAGGGACATGCATGAAGTTTTGTTTTGAATGCAGAACATTAACTGATATGAGGCAGTCCTTTCTTGCATGCTACCTTATGGGGTGGCGTGTGTATGCCCTGAAACAACGTGCCTCTGCACCCATCATTGTGTTTACCTTTCCTAATGGAACTTGGGAGATGCTTCAGCACAAATTTCTAAATCTTTCCTGAAACTTACTTGCTCCTGAAGTCATTGATGTCTTGAGATAATGAGCCTCACAGGTAAATTATGTATCAGGAAGAAAATGCATTATACTTTTATCAGTTTTACTCTTGTTTCTTCAGCTGAGCTCATCTGTGACATCCCATAATAAATACAGCCACGTGATTTACCTGGGCTCAGCTAGTTCTTTTTGTTCTGTATCATGTCCCATCTCATTTGCCTTTTCTTTTTTCATAATGCAGCTGCTGTCACCACTATTCTGAAATCATTGATTCTACGGAAATCAGTGTAGCCCTAGCCTTCTGATGTTCCTGGGATTGCGGCCCTTGTTTCTGGTGCAGTTCAGTTCTTTACATTCTTGTGCAGGAGTCAGCTCCATTGAATTCAGTGGGTCTTACTCTCATGTAAGGACTCATCCACACTTCCTGTTTGTTTACCCCACACTTCCTAGGAACAGATCCGCTCTTTAAAGTTCTGTGTCTGGGTGAGTTTCTTTTTCTTTTTCTTGGGTGCTTTTCCCAGGCAAACCTGCTGTTTTAACACTGAATTGGAACAAATGGCCACTAGGGTTTCTGTAGATTCAGTGGACTGCCATTTGCTCTGATTCTGCAGTAAAGAGTGGGTTTTAAAAGGACAAAAAAAGTACTTGGACATGGAGCTTTAAAGAGTAGGCCTGTATCCAGAAACATAGCACAAAAGGAAGTCTGGCTGACTCATGAGTGTGTACCCAGGCTTGTCATGAAGAAGTCCTTGTTAATTTATGCCCACCCACAGTATACATTTAAAGCAGTATCATGCAACTTTAAACAGTCATGACTTCTTCCAAAGGATCCTGGGAACTGTAGTTTGCCAAGGGCGCTGAGAGTTGTTAGGAGACCCCCTATTCCCTTCTCATAGCTACAGTTCTAATAGTCCCCTGGAAAGAGGGATTGCTTGTTAAACTGCTCTGGGAATTGTTGCTCTATAAGGGGAATAGAGGTCTCCTAACAACTCTCAGCTAAACTATAGTTCCCAAGATTCTAAGCTATGACTGTTTAAAGTGGCATATGACACTGAATTGCAGTGTGGTGTCGTGTATGTATACTCATAAGTCAGCTCCACTGAGTTCAAGATTGCAGGCTAAGATTTGCATTCCTGAGCAATCACTCCCATGTGACGAGCTTCTGATTAATAAGATAAACATCAAGAAGAGCTAAAGTCTAGCACTGCATGCTGGATCTTTTTCTTTTCATTTATAGCTAAATCAGATGATGAGCCTGTGAAAGTGAAGAGGTTGGCAAGATATTTTTGAAGTGCAGAATCTAATCAAAACCTTGAAGGAATATTTTCCTGCAGTTTGAAACAAGGTTAGAATTATAAATGAATCATATTAGGCTTCTTTTCTTCCTCAGGAGTTTCTGAGTTTCTGAAAAGCATGAGATTTCCTCTCTGTTAGAAAATCCTCAAATTCCCATGAACTGCTTTGTTTTTATACCCTGGATAAGACTGGATTTTCAAAGAACTAAAAACCACTACATTTTTCCATTCATTAAGTGGAAAAACAGTTGAACTTTTTAAAAAGAAAGACAAAAGAAGCTTTCAGTGCAGCCTTACTTTTCAACTTCGGTAGTGAGTTCGAGACGGTCCTCCAGATTGTTTTGGGGGGGGGGTTAACAGCTTAGAATGTGCCATTTGCTAGATTTTAAAGCTTAAAGAATTTGCTGCAAAGCTTTTCTTATGCTCATTTCAGTCCCTCTGTTCTTCATTCTTTTTATTTTCACCCCCCCCCAAAAGCTGTGGCCAAAGATGTTCAATGTGAAATGCTTTTCAAAATTCCTAACCTTTGGATAGAGAATTATTGACCTTGGCAGATTAATTTTTCTCAAAATATTCAGCCTTTACCCAAACAGCCCAAAGTTTTAATTACAATGCAAATGATGGTCAGTGCCAGCAGTTTCTCCTTATCCCTTGTGATGCTCTCAGATATATTAACATGGTGTAATTGTATTTCTCACACTGTTCATTGTCATCACGGATGCATTTTCTTAGTGACATGGGACTTTCTTTGCAGACTAAATACAAACATCCCTGGTGGTATTTAGCCTGCGTTGATTCTCCGCAAGTGGATCCCCCATGATTACAAGATCATTACTGCACCAGGGATAGCCAACTGAAAATCAGATCAGATCAGATGCAATTTTATTTGGCCTCTACCAGGTTTTAATACAGAATGTATTAAACAATATACAAAACAATAGGCCCAAGTTAAGACCACATATGTATTGGGTCACAGATTAATCACAAATTTGGTTATGCTTGTTGCACCACTGACCCATTTTGCCTAAACACAAATGTTCTAAAGGGGCCTCATGCTCCCATAAAAAGTATATCTGGATTTTGCCTCTCTCCCTCAGTTTTTCCACTAAAACTACTTCCAATACTTTAGACCACCATTGTTGCAGTGGAAACTGAGGCTTATATCTCCCATGCCTTTCGTGAGACTAGGGCCTTGAAGAATTAGGTAGGCCTTTTGGGGGAATAAATTGTCTGCTTCTAGTTGCATCTTATTTTCTTATGCTAACTGAATTTCTGCCCCATCCTTACCCTCAGCAATATGCTTCCCTGTGGCTCCCCCCCCCCGGTCCACTAATGTAGTGCCAACATATTGTGTGTGGATAAATGGGAATAAGAGATGCTCACCTGGGAAGGAAGTTAGTCATTTCTTCCCTCTACATGTCACATTACTGGAACCGTGTGGCAAAAAGCCAATGGAAATGTAACCCCATCATCACCATCACTGTGGTCCCATATGAAACAGTTCAACAAAGTGGGAGGAGGTTGTGTCAGCGCAATGAGCAATCCTCCAGTTTGACTGCAAATCCTCCAGTTTGACTGCAATCTTCTCATATAAGCCCATGTCTCTTGTGTTTCTCAGAAATGGCATTTTCCAGTCAAAACCTGTCAAAAGTATGCATGAAGGGGCAAGCTCTAGCTTTGCTAAAGATGAGGGTGAAACTTCTTTCTAAGCTGCCAGCCCCATTGCCTGGCCATCATCACCACGTCCCAGAAACAACAGCAGCAACAACAACAAAAAAGAGCTGGCCATATGGACAATTCCCTTTTGGGGGCTGGCAGTTGAGGGCAGATGGCGGAGGTTTCTTGGCAGAGCTAAATAAATAAATAAATCCAGAGCAGCCGGGCTGAGATCTGGCAAGCAGCCCAAGGTTAATTAAGCTCTAGACTTGTGGTTGGAGAGGTCAAGAGAAAGAAGAAGGCATGTTCTAACAACCACAAATAGGTTGGTTATTAAGATAGCGAGAGATGTGAGCACTGTTTTTTTGCTGCAAAGTTGGTTTCTCTTTTTTACCTAATTCATGAAACAGCCTTTAATAATAATAATAATAATAATAATAATTAATTGCAAGCAATCTCCTCAGAAATGTGGCTGGTGTGTTCGAGAGGTATGGTGTGAGTGTGTTGTTGTTTTTCAAGATTAACATTATTAGTTGCTTATCAGCATTTTACATACACAATGGAAGCATGCTGTTCCTTCCTATTAGTCTTACCCATCACCTGGAAATAGCGGGT